GAGAGAGAGAGAGAGAGAGAGAGAGAGAGAGAGAGAGAAGGGGGGAGGGAAATTCGCGATTATGTATTTACGTAATTCAAAATGTTATATAACTGGCAAGCGATTTTGGGATCGATCTCGAGGGCAATTTGCCTTGTATCAGGAAGAGCAAATATTGATGTGCCGACATAAAGAAGCGAATCCACTCGCGCTCGTTGGCCGCGTCTTCCAAAGCCAGCTCGCGCCGCTTATATCGTTCGAATAAAAAATAAATCGGCCGGTCGTCGAACTTGACATCGGGCATGAATCATCCGTTTCATTAATCATCATAAAGAAAATAATGCGTTCACAAGGCTCATTTCTGATTGCGATGTTTACGAGGCGCCGTTAATAAGACGCGAAATTTCATTCGCTCCGCGCGTTGCTCCGATAACGATTAAATCGCTAAACGCTCGACAAGAATCTGAAGTAGGTAGTTCACTTCAGATCCACTTGTGATTCTTATCAGTAGATAATTCATCGTAATCGTGTAGATCTCATATGCCGTACAATTGTAAACCAATCAAGATCGGGAGATTATTTTCTCTTTATTTCTCGAAGATTCAATCGGATGCTATAATTAATAAATAAACAAAGTCAGGCTTGTATAATATCGTGCACTAAGCAGTAAGAAGAAAACGCGGGACATTAAAGCAACAAATATAATATTGTTTGTTCGAAGTAATAGGCGAAAAAAATAAGAAGCGAAACATTTCGAGTTACACGGAGAGACTTCATCAGCCGATAAATCAATAGACATAAATAAAAATTAATTGAACAGGAATAAGAATGTCGGCAAATTGAAAAATAATTTAAACGAATGCGTAATAAAAGAGAATATAGAGCCATACGAGTCAAGGGAGAACCGATAAGAGGCCACCTCACAGTGGAAAGCAAACATAATGCACATAGAATTTTACAATATAGCGCGTAAAAAGAAAATTTAAGAAAGTCGAAGACTGTGTCCAGAGCCGGGAGCATAAAATAGTTAAATGTAAAAGAACAACCAAATTTATAGTCGAAAGATGAAAAGAAGTGCGATTCGTCGTTTCGTTTATACACAATCGTACCTTTTTAAATGCCAAGCCAAGTGCCAAACATAATGTTTGCCCACAATTATTTAACGCTGCGAGAACGGCGGAACCGCACGGTTTCCGAAGGTGCTTAACCTCCGCCTGCCAATAATTAATCAGCTGTTATTTACGGCGATTCTCGTTCCTCCAATCAGCGCCTCAAGCTTAGAAGTCGCGTGCTCAATCTCGCACGATATGCTAATTTCGTTCTGGCTTTCGTTCCGATGCTCACATTGCATTAAGCGTGTTGCAACTTCAGCAATTGCGATAATATAATACGCGCTGCGCAATCCTCCGGCGAAGGCGTAATCTACAATCTCATTTATGCCGCCTTTGTTTTTTCCTTCTTTTCGGCCGCGTATCTATTAACGGGCTCGTTTAATCGGCCCTCTGTCGAAATTACACGCACTCGCGTTGCGCTGCAACATGGACGGGAGAAAAGAATATACAATAAAATTGTAATTCCGCGCGGCAAAAGTCGCATTGTGTGTTTCGCCGCGCTGTAATGCAAAACATAAAGATCAAAACGATTCTTCGGGACGCGAATTTGTCATTTTAATTTTACAACAATTCGTGTTTATTGTAGACATGTATAATGGAATTATGTTAACTAGCGATTGACAAATGGAGCGAGTGTCAAACAATGTCGTTCGCGGCGCACATGGATTATTCATCGAAGGAGCGCGGAGTGGAAATGAAGGCAGCTCGTAAAGAAACGTAAAAGTTTCCTAAGCCGTCGCTTTTATGCTCCACCGTGCCCTTCATATTTATTATTACCGCAGAGACGGAGATCTCTCTTTCTCGCTGCGTCCTTGCCGCCGGAGCTTCTACGATAAAGTCTCGGCTCGAGGAGACGACGGAGCAGACTCCCCCGTCGTGAAAATGACTGGCTAGAGACGCGTGTCCTGCGTGTCAGCCTTGAAATTATTGCATTTTCCAAAGCCGCGTGTCTCGAAGATTACCTCGGCGGCCTCGACGCAACGGCGCGATAACAGCTATTGTTCGCCGCCGTTAATTCCCGGTTCATTTGTCCGCTCGCTGAAGAAATGTCTTACTCCGCGTAGGCATTTAATCGAAATTGCTCGGAATAACACGGTCAAGGGTACACGGGGAGAAGTTTCTCTGAAAATTTACCCTGAAACTCATGTAATCGTGGGACAACGTGGTATTTCGAAGAATTGTTTCGAGTCTTTTTGAAATTTTACCACACATTCTACTGTGAAAATGTGTGGTAACGTTTCTCAAAAAACTCCCATACAGTACTTCGAAATGCCATGTTGTCTCACGATTATACGATTTTCACTCGGATTTTCAGGGTAAATTTGAAGAACAAATTCTCTCCGTGTAAAATCGCGGCCAAAGCCTAATCCACAACGTGCTCTCTGCATCTGGAAACAATCTCTGTTATATAAAGAAATCGAACCGCTTAAAAAATAGGTCGACAACGCACGGTTGTACAGTGTATAACGAGGGGGAGACCGCCGAGGGCATTGCGGTGTATAGATTCGCGGCATTACTGGGCATTACTAGGGCATTTTTTGGGCATTAGGTCTTGCTGGAGCATTGTAAAGATAAAATAGGATAAAATAAGATAAAGTAATGCCCCTGGGCATTGGTGTACAAGATTTCGGTCAGCGGTTTTCCCCCTCGGTGTATATACAATTTATCCACTTGCGCAAATTATTTAAACGTATATCGATTGACCAGAGAAGGTAGAATGTTTCTAGATGCAAACAGCGCATTGTAGATTAGGCTTAATCGTGGGAATTGCACACGTAACAACGCCACCAACGCGCCTCGCTCTGCGGCGTATAAATAAATACACGCGGCACCGTGTGGCGTCTCCTCGTTTCTCGTGTCAATCATTCATGATAGGCGGATGCGCCTCCGCGAAAGCCGCGTTCCTGTTCCTTTTTTTTTTAATGCGGCATTATTGTTATTCCTCCGTCGTCGTCGCCGCATCATCCTCCTCTCGTCGCGAGAGCGTGTGCGCAGGTGTTCTTTCCTCCTCGATGTCGCGCTGTCAGTCGCCGCGCTCTCCCCACGAAATTTCGTTTGGGCTTCCTTTAATCACACGGAAGACACGCGCTCCCGCGTCTCCGCGGGTTGGCTAATTGTCGCCGCGTCGTTGGCCCTCGATCGACAGCACCTGAATCGATCGGCGACCCAGCATTTGACATTTCTAATAAAATCTTGATGGATTGAACATCGCGAAACCGGTCTTGTTATTTCAGCGCGGCACTCTGACATTTTCGCCAGCTCGTTAGAGGATTTCGTTACGTGGTCCCTTTTATATTCTGGAACCAATCGGTAATTGAAGTCGGGACCGGAATTAATATTAACCGTCGGAATTGACGGTGGCCCGTCGCTTCCTATTAACACCTAAATGAGGACTAATTTCGACGAATTTAAATCGGCTGACGTGAGACAATTCAATTTCCCGCTTCGAGATCGCACGGAAGAAGAACGTTTAATCGAAAATATTGGGATTGTATCATTGGAAAAAGAAAGAGAAATAAATAAATCGCGGAATCTAAAGAACCTCTTTTTCCAGAGCTTTCCTTCTTCCCGTTTAGATACAAGTTTCAAGTCTATCTAATATTTTCCTTTGTAATATCCTCTCGCCTGCTTCCGCATCTTTGCGAGTCGAGATCTTGCGAAAACGCAGGTGACCCGCGGGTTCAAGATGCACCGCACACTTTCTCCGAACGCGTCGAGAACGTCGAACGTCATTTTTCATCCCGGCGGACTTCCGGTGCGTCTCGCACGCGTCCCGTCGTTGCGGGCTTGGCGGAGCGCGGTCGTCGGATGAGAAAAAAAAAAGGAATAGGGAGTAATTAATGAAGTTAGGATCTCGTTGACGATGATGTATCCGCTTGATGTTGCTCTTCCGTGTCGCGCCCGTTGCATCCGCCCGATCTGCATATCGATGCAGCGCGACGCAACGATGTATATGCGACCGCTCGGATTATTCGGATCACGCTCCATTATTCGCGTTTACAAGCGCGATATTGATTATTGAATTCATTTTTATTTTATCACACACTATCGACAAGAGCGAAATGAAAGAGAGAAGAGAAGGCTCTAATAATTCACCTTTAAGATCATAAAACACACACACACACACTCACTCTTTTAAAAAGATGCGTGAAATATCACGATTTCATCGACACGTTGAACTTTGCGCTCAACGTGTTTTGCGAGATACGTTTCTCTCCTTCGTATCGCTCACATTTATAACTTATTTACAACTAGAGTTATTTTTAACCGTTAACGTAGGCACATTCAACGCACGTACAATTTTACAGCGTTGAAATCTGTAAAACTCATACGCTTTGTGCAGTCAGTCGAACTGCATCTATACATCGTTTATGAAAGAGCAAATGGTTATAATAAATGATTATAATATAAAAAATCGGACTTTGTTTCTTGCAATGTAAACAACGTTACAAAGAAGCAAGCGGTGAAAGTCTGATTTTTTCATCGCCGTACACCGAGGCGGAAACCGCTGAGTGTCCGTATGATCTTGAGCAGCTCCTTCTCGTCGATAAGACGCCGATGACGGCGCGAAATAATGTGCCGTAAAATCTAATTGCTCCGTGTCTCGTTTTTCCCGCAGATTATCAGACAGGATCGGGAGCATCCACGACGGCTTCGGCAACTACACGGCGGACGTGAGGTGCTCCTGGCTGATCGAGAGCAGCCCGAACACGAAGATACGGATGCACGTGGAGCAATTCGCGACGGAATGCGGCTGGGACCATCTGTACATCTACGACGGCGATAGCGTCGAGGCGCCGCTGCTGGCCGTCTTCTCCGGCCTGATGCACAAGGACAGCTATCACATACGCCGCGTGCCGGAAGTAATAGCGCGATCCGGCAGCGCGCTGCTGCACTTTTATTCCGATGTCGCGTACAACATGAGCGGCTTCAACATTACGTACAAGATCAACGCCTGTCCGAGCAGGTGAGCGCTCGCAGCTGGATTTCGCGATCTCTCCCCCAACTTCTCTCCCGATCCTCTCCGTTTTCTTTTCAGCTCTCTCGACCGTCTATCCCTTAACAAGTGTATTATTAATACACGGAGAGAATTTCCTCTTAAAATTTACCCTGAAAATTATGTAAACGTGGGGCAACTTGGCATTTCGAAGAGAGAGAGAGTGAGAACAAGTGTCCATAGGCAAATGGCTCCATTTTTTTCCCCCACTCGATTTTGGTCACAAAGTAGGTACCTGACGAAAGGTCTCGTCACGCTGATTACAGATATGTCAGTCTCAGAGTGTACCTATTTAACGTTCCAGAGATATCGGGTTCCAAAGCTTCCATTCCATTCCAAACAAATGGTTGGTATCTGACGGCTTTATCGCTTACGTCCTGGGAATATTTGGAGCCGGATATCGCTGAAACATTAAATAGCTACACTCTGAGACTGACATATCTGTAATCAGCTTGACGATACCTTTTGCTAAGTACCTACTTTGTGACCAAAATCGAAAACGAAAAGATGGGGCCGATCTTGTTCTCACTCTTTATGAGATTTTTAAAAGTTTACCATACTTTTTACTAGTAATTATACTTACTGTTTTAGTATGCATTTCACTAGTAAAATTTTACCATTAAAAAACTCATGAAGTTCTTCAAAATGCCATGTTGTTTCACGATTAGATGATTTTCAGAATAGATTTTGAAAGAAAATTCTCTCCGTGTAGTTACACGATAAAGTTGCTACTTTCATATGCCAATTTGGACTCTTGTTCTCTCGTTGGATACACTGAGAGACGATTCGATGCGTTCGCCGAATGTTGTAATCTCGATTTTAATTAATATTTAAATTGAAGAGACAGGTAGCGACAGCGCAGTTGATATAAATGCTTGACATCCTTCTTGGCGAAATGGTTCTCGCGTGGTGGAGAAAAAGCGAAGCGGGTCTCGTTTTACGAAGTTGTCCGTAAGAACCTTAGCAGAATGGCTGTCTCGTACTTGTAAGACGTTTTATGCTCCAAGGTATTCATAGTCTGATCTTATGTTGGAGACCGTCTTGAATTTATCTAAAGATGCTGCACGGAACATTTCATTGGCCGCAGAGGATCTACAAATGATCTCAAGACGATCTTAAATATAAGATCTGATTATGAATAATCTAACCACTCCATGTCTGTATTTTAGCAACGCATAACAGTCTTGCGTATCGAGTCTTAAATATGTATACCAAGACAACTTTGCAAAGAATAAACGTGTGCATGTAAACATATGAAAGTAGCAACTTTATTCTATAACTACACGGAGAGAGTTTTCTTTTAAAATCCATCATGAAACTCCTGTGATCGTGGGACAACATGGCATTTTGAACAATTTTGTGAGAGTTTTTTGACATTTTACCAGTAAAGAGTATGATAAAATTTTAGAAAACTCATAAAATTCATCGAAATGGCATGGTGTTTCACGATAAAACGATTTTCAGGATAAATTTGAAGAGAAAATTCTCTCCGTGCATTAATAACAGATGAATATTTTATATTAATCATCCTGAGATTGTGCGAGTCAACCATGTTGCTCAGACCCTAAGATCGTGGCGCAAGTTGACAGATCCTAAAACGCGAGCGATCGTTCCGCGGTGGCTTTTAGCGTGTAGGATTGTCTGAGAGACGCACGATGGATTACTCGCGGTCAGAGCCGAATAAATGATTTCACATTCGCGCGCGCATCTGTTGAAGAAGAAAGAGAGAGGCATGGATTTGATGCTTGGCAAGGTGGCGGTCAATCTGAAGGACTCGGAATAGAGCGAGCAGATTACACGGAGAGTGGCGACCGCCGATAGCTCGTAATTGGGTCGCTGTCGGCTTAGAAACTTTATCGAGCTTCCTCCGCGAGCCGGAAATACGCGTAACCCTATCATGCGTCACATTTGATAACGTTACCTACGGTCAGAAGACGACCTTCGGCGAAAGGGGGAAGAAAAATCTGAGACCTCACCCGGAAGACCGGGGATCATCCGGCTAGCATTTGTTCACGTCGGGGTTTCGCTGTGCTCCGATTCCAGACGCGATACGTGAAACGAAAGGGCGATGATCCTCTCGCATCTCGATGTTATTATCTTCCAAAGACCTTTTGTAAAGTCGAGGCGAATCCGCCTCCAGCTCCGTCGACGTCGGGACGATCCATCATCCGGGACTTCCGTGCGTCACGACACGTGGCTCCTCCCGAATTGTTTGTCCTTCGGCCTCGCGCCTCTCAAATATCGAGAGCAATCCTCCTTTTCCTGAGAAATTAATAGGGGCAAACATTTATCGCGCGATCGAGTAAATATAGCGCGCGGGAGCATTTGTGTTTGCTCAGCGGCGGTAGATGATCGCGGTGGCATCGCGTCGCACGAGGACAAGATTGACTCAATGATATCTCGTGTACACAACCTGCGTCGGCTTCTTGCAGGTATTCCCATATCGACTGCTCCGGTCACGGGGTGTGTATCGAAGGCACGTGTACCTGCGACGCCACGTGGACCGGCGAGGCCTGCGACGCACAGGTGTGCCCGAACAATTGCTCGTATCAGCATCAGCAGGGCGAGTGCGATCGCGAGAGTCATCACTGCCGCTGTCTTCACGGCTTTAAAGGTAAAGAGATAACGGACGCTGCAACGACCCGTAACTGATAACGAGATGTCGGAAGTATATTTTACTTGTACTCGACGGTAAAATGAACGATAAACGTTTTTCATAATTAATGAATAACAATTATTGTAACATATCTTGGTAATTATTGAATAAGATTAGCGCGCGGAGATTTATGATGAGATAAGATAATGAGATGTCGAAAATGAATGATAAACGGTTTTCATAATTTATGAATAACAATTGTATTTTAGTAGCTATTGAATAAGATTGGCGCACGGGTGATCTACGATAAATGAATGTATATAACGATGTGATAAAATTCAGGTACAATTAGAGTTAGAGAAGATGCCCTTCTCGCTCGGGCTGGATCCTGGGAAGCCTAATTAATCATATTTCTACGGGAATTTTCTAAACATTTTTCCAGTTCAGTAAAGTGCGCGTCGATTGATGCTAACGTTCCTATTAAATCGTTGTAAAGAATCTTTGCAAAAAAAATACCAGCCAGGATCCCCGTAGGGGATCCATGACGGGCGTCACGGAAATTAAGATACATCGGTAAACACATTCGAGATGATAACTTCCAGATATCCAATCTAGTAATAGCGTAGTGACGTAATAGTATCACGCGATCGATGAGCATCGTGATATCTGATATTCAAATATGATGTTAGGTATTACCTTGCATATCCATAACTGTCATAATAATAATAGCATTAATGAGCGTTGCGTGGTACTTGCTTGTTTAATATATTTCCCATCAGGGCAGGCATGCGATCTGGAGTAATTATGAGCGATGGCCTTTTACGAGCTACTTCTATTCGAGATATGTAATAATTGAAATCAAAGAAAGATTAAGTGGACTCATTCACGATTTCCGCAGGTGCGGACTGCAGCCAAAGAGGCGAGCATGGATTTTGGGAGAGCGTCACGTACAAGGATCTACCGCCGGAAGGCTCGGCCAGTCACTGCGCCATCGTTTGGAAGGATTCGCTGTACGTGGTCGGCGGCGAGAGCTTCCATCGTGCCAAGATGATATACGTGTACGATTATAACGGCAATGTTTGGGAGACACCTCACGTCGAAGGCCGGGTGCCGTTACCGCGGTACGCGCACTCGTGCGTGCTGTTCGGCGACAAGATATTCCTGTACGGTGGCGTCGTGCAGAACTCCACCGTGATCAACGAGATCTGGGCGTTCGACGTGTCCGCCAAGGTCTGGGAGAACGTCACTGTGCACGACGATTGCCACAACACGACGATATGTGGCCCACTGAAGGTGCGACTCTTTTATCCGAGGAATGTACATTTAAACCGGACGTACACTTTGGAGATGTGTGGCTGAATCATTTCTCCCCGCGCTTTATTAAATATAATCAAAGGCACACGCCTCGTGTAAATAAATACAGTTGATGAAACGCCAGTTGAAAAGGCGGCAGTTCACTTTTTTAGATCCTTGTACTGTAAAGGGAAGTAATTTTTAAGAACAAACATCTGTCGAATCTTAAAAGGTCCAAGAACAATCGCCAGCCAGGGGATTAATTAAGAAATTAATTTCGGATTTGAATAGCGTTATCTATGTATCACTCGCTCTTGTTTCCCAACTCTCAGTTGAATCTCGTACAATGTCCCGATTGTCTTAACGAATTTGTTTTTACAGGTAGCGGGACATACCGCGACTCGGGTGCAGATTAAAGGCAAGGAGAAGATGATTGTGATATTCGGCTATTCGCCGCAATATGGTTACTTAAACACCGTCCAGGAGTACTCTTTGGGTACGCGCGAGTGGCAGATCGTCAAGACGAAGGGCTTTCCAGTGAAGGGCGGTTACGGGCACAGTTCCGCCTACGATCCCCTCATGAAATTCATTTATGTGTACGGTGGTTACGTGTCGGAGTCGCAAAGCACGCACGTTCTGACTAGTCGGCTGTACTCGTACCATCCCGAGAGCCACGAGTGGCGGCTGCTCACGTCGGCGCCGTCGGCGCGCTTCTTTCACACAGCCACTTTTGTCGCGGGTGGACTAATGTTGGTGTTCGGCGGTAATATGCACAACGATACGCAGCATTCGCACGGCGCGCGATGCTACTCGGCCGATACGCTCGGCTACGATGTCCTGTGCGACACGTGGCATCAGTACACCATGCCCAGGGATATGAGCGATCTTCCGCGATACGGTCACAGCGCGACCGTCTTCGAGAAGTCGATGTATATCTACGGCGGCTTCGACGGTGAAATGCTCTCCGACATGCTGAGGTACCGATTCAATGTATCTTGTTTCAAGGGCTGTTTATCTGTCCGCTTATCTACCCGTAGATGCTGAGATTTTGTTATTGCGCAGGTACACCCCCGGCAATTGCGAGTATTTCACGACTCAGAATCAGTGCCTGAATGCCAGGATAGGCGTCAAGTGTTTGTGGAATAAGGTGGAAGGTCGATGTATACACGTCATGAAGATACAGTCGAATGAAAGATACATGCTACTCCACCACAAGGATTACGACGAACTGTATATGAAGTGTTTGGGCGTCGGGCCGCCACGCGGCATGACGTCGCACGGAGAACTCTGTAAGCTCTTCACTGATTGCGTCGCGTGCGTACAGAACTCGTACAATTGCGTGTGGTGCGGCAAGAGTTGCTTGCACGAGATGTGCCGGGACAATGTGAATTCGCCGAATTCGATCGTCATCACGGAGCTGGACCAGTGCAACGCCAACACCGGCATCGAATGTTTGCAAATGCATACGTGCCATGCTTGCTCCAGCAATCCGCACTGCATTTGGTCGTGGTCCAACGGACCCGACCGTTGCAAACCGCAGTCGAAAACTCGGGAGGTGCGTATGAGAGTATACTTTTAACACTTTATTGGTTGCGCAAGGCGGCGGAAGGCGGAATATTCATATGTTCACGAATATCTTCTTTTGAAACGTTACATAGCGAACAATTGTAAGCGTATAATGAAGTATATTGTAAACGAAGATGCGATAGTTTTCCATTTCTTACGATAATCTTAGCTTGGAAGAAATTAGTGATTGGCAGTTGGTCTTATTAATTTTTTAAACAGATGAGTATTAACGGCGTATTAAACGGCACGGTGCTCTCGCCGCAACGTTTGACGATGGACACGTGCCGTAGTCCATGCGTGGAGTACACGTCGTGTCGGAACTGCACGGAGTCCGACTGTATCTGGTGTCAGAACGAGGCCAAGTGCGTAGACAAGAACGCGTATCCGGCCAGTTTTCCATATGGACAGTGTCGCGAGTGGACGACAATAGATGCTCGGTGCCGCGCCACCGAGACCGGCAGGGACTGGTGCAGCTTTTATTCGTCGTGCGCCGCTTGCCGATCGGATCCCGGTTGCGGCTGGTGCGACGACGGATCGGGCACGGGGAAAGGTTTGTGCATGGCCGGTGGAGCTCGTGGCCCCAGCAGCAAAAGCTCAAACACGTGCTTGCTCGTCCATTGGTACTTCACAAAGTGTCCAAGTAAGCGAGTTTGTTTTTTGTTGAATTTCAGCTCCTTTCATGCCGTCATATCGCGATTATTAATTCGATTCTCTTGATTCTAACAGCTTGTCAATGTAATGGTCACAGTAAGTGTCTTCCAAATAGTAGCGTATGCATCCAGCCATGCGGAAACTTGACTTATGGACCACACTGCGATAAGTGTATCCCCGGCTATTACGGCAGTCCACTCAATGGAGCCACGTGTCAGCGTACGTAATATCTTTTTCTTTACATACTGCGTTATTATCATTCGCAACAATCACGAACGAGAAAACATTTGAATGACACGTGTATGATCTTATTATAGCTTGCTCCTGCAACAACCAAGGCACTCAGTGCACGAGCGAGACGGGCAAATGTTTTTGCACGACTAAAGGCATTATCGGAGATCACTGCGAACGTTGTGACGTATCTGGTCTCTATCACGGAGATCCTACGAATAAAGGATCCTGTTTTTGTGAGTTTGATTGATGCACTTATATCTTTCATCTTACACCTTGATAACTTCATTATAATTATTCCATCGCTCATATGTTTTAGATGACTTGGCTATTGATTATCAATTTACGTTTAATCTGAGCAAGAAAGAAGACCGTCATTATAGAGCGATCAATTTCAAGAATTCACCACCGAAAGCTGACATTGACGCCGAGTTCTCTATCACATGTTCTGTTCTTGCTAAAATGAACGTGACTATCAAGAAAGTAAATAGTCCGGAAAAACCGTTGCTACTCGGCGCAAATTGTACGACGATCATGTACAAGCACCGTTTCAGCAAGGCGGACTACAATTTCGGTAGCGAAGATAACAATACTCTCACTACGTTCTACGTGTATGTCTATGATTTTCAACCGCCGCTGTGGATCCAGATCTCGTTTTCTCAATACTCCAAACTGAATCTGCAGCAGTTTTTCATTACATTCTGCACGTGAGTACCATAACTTGGATTTTGGAGTGATTTTTAATCCAAAATAAAGCGAATTAAAATTGATGCAAAAAATTTGCTTGTTTAAATGTCTAAGCAATAATAAGAAAATCCAGGGTCAAAAATAGACGAGTCAAACGAGCAAAACAAAAAAAGACGAGACAGGGCCAAAAATAGTTATTATTTTAAATAAATAAATACACAAAGTTTATTATTTATAAATTAAATAAAAATACCTGTGTACGTTTTGAAGACTGTACTTTGTCTTCTTCAGAATGCAAATTAAAATGATCAAAAGAGTTAGTACAGTAAATAAAATAAAACAATGAGTCGAAGAAGTCAGAAATTTAAAATAATGAAAAGAGTTTCCGTAACAGTCGCGCATAAACCAAGATTCCATAGGAAAAAATTATCAGACACATTCTCTCGTGCTTACGTAATTATAAAATTTCAGTAAATTTGTTTATTTCTACCTGGTTCTCTTTTAATGTATAGACAATAAACTATATATTTTCCATTCTCTGGAAGTGTCTTTTTGAAAATTTATTTATTTACTATGACACGTAACGGCGCTCGTCTATTTTTAGTCCTAGACTTTCTTGTTGTTGAATTAAAATGTACAATGCACGAAGAATAACCTTAAGATATAATAGATCCATTGGTCGTACGCTTTATTTTTTCAAATTCTCCATACTCCCTTTGCCATGTTGAACCTCAGGCAGTACTTACTTGTAAACTAGAGATTACATGCCACCGCACAGGTGCTTCCTTGCGTTGTTACTGGTGGCTGCCATTCTCTGGAAGATCAAGCAAAAGTACGACATGTATCGACGAAGGCAGAGGCTCTTCTTGGAAATGGAACAAATGGCTAGTAGAGCGTTTAGTCAAGTTTTGGTGGAAATTGAGAGACGTGACATTGACAGTACAGATCTAGAGCGCGGTGATGCTGATTGTACCAACTGTCGTAAAAAGAAGAAGGTAAACGTAAATAATTTTTCAAATATTGTACAGATATTTTTAATGACACGTAACTACACTTATTTCTGAGTAAACACATTTACCATTAAACGATGATGGTAGAAAAGAGGTAAATTTTCTCAGAGAAAAAAGATTCTTGTATCTTTTTAAAGAAATTTAAATATTCTATTTCTTTTGCTTTTACGTGAATTCTTGCAACTGGAGCTCATCGTAATTCAAGTAAGGGCTGTATTTTTATATCGGATATGTCTTCTTGCAGGATGCTCCTAGTCCAATCGCACTGGAGCCTTGTTGTGGCAACAGAGCGGCAGTTCTATCTCTGCTAGTCAGATTGCCCACTGGTGGCGAGTTGTATACGCCAGCCGGACAGAGCGCTGGTCTAGCGGTGGCATCCGCTTTGGTGACGCTAGGCAGCCCGCGCAGACCGTCTCAGGAACTAACGGCAAAGGAGCCGAAGAAGACACGAAAGTCTGCGAGTCAACATCCGGATTCCACTTGCATTTAGCGGTAAACCGGCGAGATATCGCGATAGGATGTGACTAATGATAAGGATAAGCCTTAGAGTTGTTTCTGTGATCTTGCTCGCGCTTGACACGGCAGGACATTTGTCTCCGAACTCTGACGGAGTGAAGAAGTGCTAGCGATGATCGCGCTGAGATGAAACGAGAAATGTACATGAAAATTTTACTCGTTTATACGACTGATCGGTGAATCGAACAATTTGGTTATTTTATCCGAAGAGTCGGCTGAGCGTGTAATAGACATAGATGTATGCGCGACTTTCCTTATCGAGTAGAAGGAAACGCCTTTGACCGAGGAGCGAATGAACCGCTCCGACCAGTTACGTCCGTTAATCATGGTAAGTAATGTTTTTTTAAGACTTGAGTTGCATGAGACTCACATGCACTGAAAGGGACGTGATTGATCACTCGGCTAATATTCGGAACGTAATTGAGGTCCTTTTTAAGGAACTCTATTAATGATGTACAGTGTTGTATAGATGGTTAAACGAACGTTCTTGTCAAAGAAGTTACGATACGATATGTTGGTCGCGTGGATAAACTGGCCTCGTACAGATTTGAAAAGCTTTTGTTCGCTGCATCTGTTTTATTTATCAATTAGAATATATTTTATTATCATAAATCTAAGAAAAAGAACTTACGTAATCATCTCTTAAAAATTTAGAAGTTTATGAAATAAAATACTTAAATCTGAAGACATTATGTATAGTCTTTGTCTTAAGTTCTTATTATTTTCTTGGTATAGTTTCTACAGTGCAGTGGATAAAGCTTTGTAAATGCCATAAGAGAGTTATTACAAGAATCCATTAATGTTACTAAAATGATTAAATTCGAAGTACAACGCTTCGACATAAGCTGTAAATAGGCTGTATTTTTTCGAAAATATTGATCGTCAATAGTGAAGATAGAAAGGCGTATGAGGGTGCACGAGAAGGCAGCGTGTACGTCAAAGAATTCACTATTTATGCATCCATTTGTAGTGTGTATAAAATTCATATTCTAAATCGATCGAAGTGAGTAGAGATAACAATTGCAGACTTAGAGAAGGTACAAACCGCTCGGTCTTGTGTGCGTTTCACATTAGGATATTGTGCCAAATCCAGCATTTCGTTTTTTTTTCGGCGTATATGCAGAACATTTGCGGATCGAAGCAAACTTCGGTCAGCTAGGAATCAAGTCGCAAGAGCAGGTATATTTTCACGCTGTTCGTTACCTCTATTCACTGTGATTGCAAATTAATTCTTGTCACACGACCGAAAATTTGCGGAATTTAAGATTGACACCAATTAACGGCGTAATTTAATTACAAAGATTTAACAATTTGTCGTATTCGAGGTTTTAGCATAGCAAACGGAAAGAATTCACACGTGGTCGTTGTAATAAGAAACTCATTCGAAATCTCATTTTTGTTTCACGGAGCAAGTAACAGTGCTAGTTGTCTCGCACTGTTGGTTGCATGACTGTCTTTCTGAGCATTTAACTAATATATTTGTACGAGATTCGCTTGTTTTTACCCTTCTCTCTTTTTTTTTAAAGAGTTTATAAGCCTCTGCTTGTATTACGTTAGTATTCTTTCATACTTGTGTGTTGCGGAGTTAAATTAAATTAGCAATGAATATCGCATACTTCCATTTTTTTATAGTACTTTACTTCTTACCGTTTTAAGTACGAGAGGATAACTTGCAACGCGAAAACTTCACAAGTTTTGTATACATTATTAGCGCAAGGTAACGATAGTGCATAAAGTTCCAGTGCATTCTGATTCATGTGCGCGTAAAACGTGTTTATATTAACAAACCGGTCTTTTTCTTCTTAAAACTTTCATGATTATACGAGAATAGGGAGTCATAAGATCATACACAAACATGTACTAGATATGTCTTCTATAAATATGTTAACTTGTGTTATAATATGATAACGAAGCTTCTTTTTTTTATTGTGGTGTAATGCACGTGTGTGTATATACATACAGACATACATGGCGTATATACATATATGTATGGCTTTGTATTTATATAATTGGTGCATATTTGAGCAGGCGAATTATAAACGGACGGATTTGTTATTACTTGAACTAGCGCAAGTACAATGCATTTTATTATGACATTTTAATACTCATAACTCATTGTCTTTATATCGTTTAAAATATTGATTTATATAAAGACAGTGGCCAGGAGAGACGATATATATATACATACATATATATATATTATAAATTAGAATCGCTCCCTTTTAAGCGCATTCTATCTCAAATATATTTTTCGTACCAAAGAAAGCTCTATAGATATGAATAAAATCGTTATTGCGCACGTAGAAGACTAGATAGCACTCAACACAATCAATTAATTATTATATAACGATTAGTAATAAAGTTCTAATTATTGGCTGCGTTTTTAAGAAATGATTTTTCGTCGACGGTAATATAGATCTGATTATTATTTATTGTCGAATTTACTTTTTTTTTATACAAACAGCTTTTCTACTCGAGTAGCGTGAGAAGTGATCTCGTTTAAGAGATAATTATGACTCTTCTCTTATGAGCGCCAAAAAAGAGATAAGCATATTTTATTAAAATATATTTTATTAGATATATATTATATTGCGAAATACTTTTTATCGTATATAATTTATATAAACTAATGAGCGTGTCTGGTTCTTTCGTTGCCACGATACCTGCAATCACTTATTTTTTACGGTTTTGATAGTTAAAATTCTGTCTGTATCGAAAATTTATTAAGACCTACAGAGAGCCACCGCTCTTTCGTATTCAATGATTTCGGCAACAAAAGGATCGAGAATGCAGCGCAAGAGTTCGAAAATATTGTTCGTCTAGGATAAATTTTTGCGTCGATAAAAAAACAAAATAGGAGTCTCTGTTGTTAGGAATATCGTTTGAATTCGCGATACTTTCAACGTGTAAATATCCGATGCCTTCGGTGTTGATTTTAAATTATCAGGACGACGGTCCACCGGCGCTCATACATAGGTATATATACGTTTTTCTTTTTCCGTTCCTGGGTTGTACTTGAAAATTTTACCATCGAGGGGGAAGGACCGCTCTCGGAGAGTACATAAAATTTTCAAACGATTCTCCATCGAGACTCTATCTGAAAAATAAAACTCTCGAACGAACGAACGTTGAGAGTCGCTCTTTCAATTCCACGCCAGCTGGATATTATCACTGTCGAGAGTCGCCCTCGGAGGATAAAGCTCTCAAGCGTACGACCCTGGCTTCGAATTTTTGTCTGTCGCGTTTGTTGTACACCGTAACACTGCCAATATAATATTCCTCCTCCTTCATTGATCTACAATATGCTTCGTCTTCGACCCCGAGACGACGGTCGGTCTCTCCCCATCCTCTCCCTCGCGCCGATCGATCTCTGCGACTGATAACACGTGCGAACCATCGATATTCCGCATTCTCTTCTTATCTCTCTCTTTCCAACGAAAATCGCGCACCATTGTTGTTCGCGATCGCGACGGGACCAGCGTTGTTCATCGCTCTTAAGAGACTCTCTCGGAAAGGCTCAAATAATCTATAAAAATAGAACAGCATAATACGATGCACATATTCACTCGTCTAATCTTTATTTATCTAACACGTTCAAGGAAAAAGCTTGAAGAACATTATAAGGAATCTTCTATCGTTTTTCTTCTTGCAAAAGAATTTTCCAGATTCAATGGAAAATGTATTAGTATATACAATTAAATTGTGTGTACTATTTATATACATGACTTTATATATATTTATATTATATATATCGTTACATATTTTATATAACATGTATATGTATATATAATATATATAATATATAAATCAGTATATGTGTATACGTATGTGTACAGGATGAGGAACTATCTGTCTGTTAGATAAGTGAAGGCGTAAATTCCAACACATTTTTTCAAATAAATTCTAATGTTCGAAAGCAGTAGAATAAGGAATTAGCTGCACGGTAGAGCTATTAGAACTAAATTGATGAAAAGCTTTTTTAGATTAGACTAGAAGGAAATCTGTAATCACGTGGACCGACCGGGTCCAATCACGTACTAATTGTCCCTTAATTTCTGATAAGACGTCGCGTAGGAGCGAATGAACGTCGCAAGAGCTCCCATCGCGATCCACGGAGTCTCTTCGATTTTCTTCTTTCAAAAGAGGAAAAGGAGTAACCGGGGAGACCTCGCCTTCCCCCCGAAGGATACAGAGAACGTTCGCGGTCTCTTCGAGGCGAGGCCTCCAGATCTTTTAATCGTAAAATGTAGATCTTTAAGTTGACGGGGCGTACGACGATGTAAAATGTAATACATTTCTACGGATATTCGAGTCACCGATCTTAGCCGTTAAGGATTCTTAAGCGCCGGTATGTGAAACTCAGACGAGGAGCGACGATGCTTATCACGAATGCACCGAATGCGAGATATCACGATTGAAGCTCGAATTTACAGAATAAGAGAGAGAGACTGTCCTCGCATACATATGCAGAGACACTTATACATACACAGAGACCCGGAACCGGGAACACAGACGGGCGTATAATAAGAATACTTAATAATCTAAATAAGTATACATACGATTGTGTATATTATACATAGCTTGCGACAATTTTTCTAGGACACAATCGGAGATATTTATTTTTATTCGGGCGTAAGCATAAGGCACACAAACTATTTGATAAAAAATCTGCAAGTCGACGGAACGATTTGAATCTCTCGACGCAAGTCTCGCGAAGTCTTTTGATAAACGAATGGTGGAGGACGCAGTGACAAACGCGCGTTTATGTAACGTACATGTATTGTACAGTGTAAAGTCTGAGAATATTAATTTGTATTGTACATGCGATATTTAGCGTCGCCTTGTTTTCACCTTACATCGACACCGTCGTTATAGAAAGAGCGAGATGTACCAAGTGTCAAAGCGATTTTAAATCGTCGTCACAGAAATTTGTCGCCTGTTACATTATTTTTCTTCCATCTCCCAACACACCACGTCGCAGTACGGCGTTTCTCGCCGAGAGAGATTAAAGTCCCCCCGAGCTTTTGTAACTCCCGTGTGGACACTTGACAGTCTTTCGCGTGCTAAAGCCGCTCGAGCTTAATAACGATCGTTTTCATCCTACATGTGTAAGCTCATTACTTGTATATATGCAACGTCATACGGAGGAACATTATGTTATTTCAAGCGATAGGAAAGAGAGCAACGAAGAAAGGCTTCCGAAACGAATTGTATCTCAGAGGCGGTAATCCACTCATTTTCGAAGCGCGCGCAAGAGTTGGAGATAATCTTCGATTTTTTTTAAAAATCGAGTCTAATTGAATCGTTTTAAAGGGAGAAGTGGCTTCCCGCTCGTCCTCACCACATCTTGCCTATTCAGCTTACTTTTTTCAACGTAAGGTATTTTTAGTCTCGAGAACTAGACTTTCCCGACCGGGCTTGGCGTGCCGTGTGTGCTGAACGTTTGGACTATTTTTAGATTTCATACGTGTGGGTCGTATCTCTTTTTTTTGCGTTAAAAAGAACCCTTAAAAAGAGGCTTTAGTTCTCGTTTCTTCATTTTCTTTAAAATTGGAGCGTAGCGTGCCGAGGGGTCAGGAACCATAAAAATTTCCCAATTGAAAGAAACTTATCGCGAGCGTAGAAATCTCTGAATTCGTTTCAAACGAATAATTTACGCGTGACACTTAAATCGATCCGTCAAATGTAACTTGAAAAATCTCAATTAAGAGCTTCAGGCTTTAATTTTCGTTACAGATTCGATGAAGTAAAACATTAATTAAATCGAACGATTTTCTATCGCCGACAAGACCAGAAATTTTTTTTCTGATTTCACGTCGCGCACGTCTATTAGGTTTTATTAAGTTGTTACGTTATACAATAGTACATCTCTCAAAAGGCAATATTAATAATTTAATCATTTCAATTATGTAAATTAACATTCGTTATATCTGATTGTAAAAAAAAACTTCTTAAAAATATATATCGTGGCAGAAATTGTACATCTCACAATCAGTTAAAATATCTTGAATTAGTTCAGATATTTATACAATGGAATCCAGTATGCGTACCAAATTTCTGTATTGTCGGAGGATAAGCCGAGAAAATGATTGCGAGAACCAGAAAACATCGCGGATATATTTTTAGATTGTCTCGCAAATGCATCGAACGACACGAGAAGAGCGTGAACGACTGCAGCTCCGTACACGCGCATACCTTATCATCCAATCACATATTCAGCTTTATCTAGTCTACAAAAGATGAGCGTGACTGCGTGCGAATGGATGGTTGTAATATCAGCGAGCTTTCCCTCGCGAAACGCGACGCGGCAAATTCGCATGTATCTCGACGGTCTATTAGGAATCTTTTCTCTACTCTAAGAATGTGATCCCTCTCTGATAATTTCTTTAAAACTTCTCTGAAAGAAAAACCGATGGAGAAAGTTATTCGATATCAATTTCCGAATCTTGTTCTCCGAGAACGACCGACCATAGAAAAATTCTTCTGTCTGTCCCCGAAGAATATTCACTCGACGATTTTACTTGCAATTTTAATTGGCTATTGCCCATGGCAAACAATAGAGGCGCAGAGTAAAAGATTCTTACCTTCCGAGAGACATTTTTTTGGAATAAAATCCTGGAGCTTAATCTGGGTAAAAAAAATTATCTGCTGTTGAATCGTGCAATCAGAAATCGTCTTTCAGTCTTTTTTCTTTACACTTTTCCTATAATTGCAAGGATAACCTTTTAACGATTCACAAATGAGGGATGTAAAAAGAATTCCTTAATTTTGGAATGCAGGATCTGTGCAGGATTTGTAGAATTTTTTTATGATTTCGTGTATTTGTAATAATTTATTTTTGTATGTCGTATTTTTTACATACCACGATGTGTATCACGTGTAATCAAGGATTATACTTCTAAACAAGCGTTAAATTTAATTTATTGCATACCATCGATTCGCTCGCGAATGGTAATAAATCGTTTGAAAATCGATCACGTGACAAAGTGGACAGTCACGCGTTAAGCAAAAAAGTCATGTTAGTTAGGAGAATGAAGAATAAGTTGGAATGTCAAAGGGGTTGGCGAATGACACGGTTTTCCTAGAGAACTTGTCTTAAAAAAAAAAACAAGAGAATTATCTTGAAGAGAATCGAAAGCGAGAATGAGAAGAGAGTGAGACAGAGAGAGAAAAAGAATGCATGTGTACGTATGTGAGATCGTGTAGGTGACTCCAAATTATGCCTGTATTTTTGTGCTAGAAGTTAGAATGCATAGAAAATTATTACGAACGTCGTGCGAGCTTGTGCAGACGAGAATGGTACATATTGTATTATATCAAATAAAACAGATATTGTTTAAATAAAATTGATATACATAAACTTAATCATGCATATGTGCGTGTGTACATATTTATTCCCTGTCAAACGCGATGTGTTATTTTCTACGAAAATTAATGCGACATCCAATAAATTAATAAGTGCGATATCGTAATAATTGTTGAGATACTTGACATTTTCGCCCGTTAGGAGAATAAAGAATAATTTGAAATGTCAAAGGGATTGGCGAATGACACGGTTTTCCTAGAGAACTTATCTTAAAAAAACAAGAGAATTATCTTGAAGAGAATCGAAAGTGCGAATGAGAAGAGAGTGAGACAGAGAAAGAGAGAGAGTAAAAGAATGCACGTGTACGTATGTGAGATCGTGTAATGCCTGTAATGCATTAGAAATTTTAAATTTACGGCGGAGAATTTTAGTAGACGAAAATACTTAGGACATAATAATTTCAAGTTTCATAAAATTAGCTAATGGTTAATTATAATCAGAGAGAAGCTGCCACGGCCGGATTTTAGGTGATCCTTTAATGCGATACGACCTCTATGGACATTGGAAAACGTGGATATGAACTACGCCAATATCCACATTTTGCCAAGTGAGTAACGCAGATTTACTAAATTTTGCATCAAATTTGTACTCTTTTTGCCGATGAAATTTGTAGTCGATTGTTGTCGATAAACTTGGTTGTCTATATATTTTATTATAACTTTGCATTTTTCTTTGCTATTTATAATACATGATTTTATCCTATAAATTCTCAGAGAACTTGTTACTTGTGTTATTTTGGTCGAATACCGTTCAACTACACGGAGAATTTTCTCTTAAAATTTATCCTGAAAAATCATGTAATCGTGGGGCAACATGGCATTTCGAAGAATTTTATGAGAGTTTTTTGAAATTTTACGATACTTTTTATTAGTAAGTAACTTAGTATACATTTACTAGTTCTTCAAAATGCCATGTTCTCCCATGATTACATGAGTTTCAGGGTAAATTTTAAAAGAAAATTCTCTCTGTGTAGAATATTTCAATTCTTTTCCTTCTCTCGAAATCCCAAAACGAGAGGATGTTCTGGGTACACTTATTTTACTTTTATGCGTTCATGTGGCACGATTTGTGTACTGTCTTATAAACTAAATGACACACGCCTCGACTCTTATCACTTTGACTCCCACTACTACACCATTCGAACACGTCTTCAACCATAAACGCATTTCAAAGCGTTTCGACATAAAACAATTAAGTTATCTTTTCTAAAGATTCGATGTAGCAGCGTAGCTCTGAGAATTAGCATACTGAATATCGGAACCAGTCGCCGCGATATTGAATTTCGCTTTGGATCATTAAGGAGCACTTTAGAACTAGAAGCTTCGCAAGAGTATCTAAAAAAGTGTGCCAGAAAAAAGAAATACAAACAAATAATAAATGAATAAGTAAAAATATACACGAAAGAAAAGATAGTGTAGATACCTCGGTTGAAGCACATTTTAAGGACTCGTAAGAAAATGCAGTGTGACACTTTGATGAAGAAGTGAAAGATAAATAATACTACTGATATCGACAGCAAAGAGATGTAATAAAGTGGAATAATGAATTGAAAGCGGACAGTTGTACGAGAGTCTCGCGTTTGATTCTCTCTCATCGGAATTTGAAATTCATTAAATAAAGCGATGGTCATACTCGTTAGAGTATGACAGAACCGCTTCCACGATTGCTGAATAATCACAGTGCAAGATGAACGTGTGCTCGTGGAATGCGAAAGAACGATTCGCGGGTAGATGTCTATTTGTCATATGAAATAGTGCTCTGTTTAATCGATTGGAAGAATAACTAGCGATTAAAGTGACTTATCTCAATCACGTGAGTTTATTGTGTGCGGCCGGGGTTTGTGTAAACTTAAATAAATTATCTATTTTTATCGTTCAGAGTTGAGGTTTCTTTGACAAAACTCTGTGAGCTCTCAAATAGAAATGCTATCGATGCAATGAGAACATTAGATGCGTCATTAAAATTTTCCGTTTTATTGTCTGCTTAATTAGATACATATTACATGCATTTGCTACCGATTCTATATCAATATCGTTCGTTATTAACATCCCGCAAACTTTCTGTTAATTAATATAAATCAAAACCGTTTTGAATCTCAATGCGGATCTACGTAATAATCTCTTTACCGAACAGTTTCGAATAAAAAGATTATTTTTACGCCAAGTGATTGCTTAGCGAGATAAAAACTTGAGAAATATTTATAATTCTTTAAAAAAAAGGAATTTAATTAGGCTGAACACACACAATCTTTCAAACGCAGATTAATATGAAGTCGATTGATCATAATCGTCGTTAAAAGAAATGTTTATATCAACTGGAAAATAAATGTAGCAAAACAAAAGCGAAATTATCTTCGCTGACCTCCTTGTGACGTATTAGACACAGATGAAGCATTTGACCCCCTTTCGACGGTTATCCAGCGAAACCTATAGTGTTCAGTGATAAATGCATTGTAGTGTTATAAGTTCTTTAACCCAATTAATTTAAAAAATCAACAATAATCTATTTTATCAAGAAAATAATTTTACATTAATGAAATTTATCGTATTGATACAAACGGTTTATGATATTCTCAACTCTATTATTGATCTAAGACCTAAGAAAATAGATATACCTAAGTATAGTTATATAAGTAGATCCGAGTGTACCAGAAACCAGCCGATTCGTATCGACAGCGTTCCAATTACTTAAAATGTTATAGAGCTTGAAAAATTACGGACGCGATATAAAGAGAAACATTCGTAACATTTTATGGGAAGAAAATAATTTCAGTATTAACAAAAGACTCTGGGGTATTGTATGGGAGTATCTCTTCTTAAACGCATCTGTTGAAAAATTCACACCGTATTACTTTATATTATATATTTGTATGCTGATCATAATCATAATATTCTACAGACAACCTTCGAGTTGAAAAATAATCTATCATAAATCATTTCGCGTTATGCACCGATGTACTGTTCTCTATTCTAATTTATTACATCACAATGTAATACGTGAGAAGTGAATCTATAGCTGGTATTCATAGTCCGTTCTTATATTTTTAGATCATCTTAACCCTAGAACGCACATGTGATTTTTTTACCTTCTAACGCACAACAGGGGTCAATATCGACCCCCCTTTTTTTTTAATTGTAAAACCGGTCCTACAGAGATAAAAGGCCTTAATAGTACATGAATTTCTTCGTTTTTTAATAAAGAAGAGAATGGTATGCGATAAATTTAGTTTCACTCAAGTTTAGTTAAGAAAAATTTATTTAAAGACCGAACAATGCAGAAAATCAGCAAAAACCTCATTTTTTAAACAAAAATTTGTATCTTTTTTTGTAATCAACCGATTTTTAAAATTCAAACGGGGTTTTAAAGAGGACACATTAGACTATTGGAAAAAAATTGTCATCGCTATGTTCTGTTCAAAAGGTATATTTATTTTGGACTATAAAAATGAAGAAATTCGCAAAGTTGAAATATGGAAAAAATCGAGGAAAAAACCATAAAAAATTGTATTTTAAGTATTATTTTATTTTTATTTGATACAAAATAGTAAAAAATATGAAAAAATGCTGATATGGGTCTCAAATTATATCGCCCAGCCATTTTCTGCGAAATGTCAATCTTCTATAGGCAACGGGATTTTTACCGACTAAGTTGTGTGATATTTCGTCTTAAATAATATTTATGACTATTTATGCTCAGATTACGTAATAATACATGAAATATATTGATTCTAGCAAAAAATATATAATTAGTTTACCGCTAAGAAACACAAACGGCAACTGCCAACTGGGGCCAATATCGACCCTACGCACGCTTTGCGACGCTTGCTGCGTCACTGCCAGCGAACATCTAACGCTGCGACCGACATAGCTCTACTTTCAGAGAGTTGAAATGAATTATGGACCAGATCCTGAGTCGATAATGCTACTCGCTAGCTCAGAAACGTAGTTCAAAGTTCGCCGAGGGTCTGAAACGACCCACGTTGTGCATTCTAGGGTTAAGTATACTCTTAATGTGTTTTTAACAAATCACAGAGCCACATTAGTCTCTCAAGACAACACTTAAGATGATTTTGAAATAAAAATTGACTATGAATACCGGCCTATGAATATTAATTATGTACATATATATTTTAATCGTATAATCGCATTGTCACGGTACATTTGTTAGTATTTCTAAGTTATTATTACATAATCATTATTTTGTTGGTCGACGATTTTCTATTTCACGATTTCTCTAGGTGACGAGGATAATCCTCTGGGATTGGAAAATTCTAGGATGTGTGGTGTAAGATTGTTTTTGTAAGAAATTATATTATAAATATATTTATACGCGAGTATAAAGAGGAGAAAAAAAATTAGTGTTTTTCAGGTTCGTGCAGAGAATGCAACAGGGAGTTATAATGAAATAACTTATGATAAGGAAGAGGATGATCTTTCCGATTTGGAATGCATTTTGTCAAACAATAACAAATGTCTTAAGCACAAGTTAACAGGCATATGAGGATAAAAGTATGAAATCAAGTAATATATTGATTAACAAGTGAGGAGGAGGAAAGGGCCAATGCGAGCCAACCGCAAGTATCTGTGCGAAATTATCCGATATTTTAAATCCTTTTATTGAAGTATACAAATGTTCCGACCAATTTTTGGGCCATCCTCAGAAGCTGGGATCAAAAAGGTGATACATGATGTTGTCCATAAATATATCAAGTAGCCAACTCAACTCTTCCGTCCAGTTCCTCCATCCAGTTTTTCTTGAATCTGTTGTAACGACTTGCCCTTAGTTTCAGGCATGTAGAAATAAGTATACGGCACGGCGGTTACCAGTAGCATAGCGTACACATAGAACAAGTACTTTTCAGTGAGTAAATCGACTAAAGGCTGATACGTCGACGTGGATATGAAAGAGGATATCGCACTGACGATGCTGGCGAAACAGGCAGCTGCGCATTTAACGTGTGGCGGAAAGATCTCACTTAATACCGTATTGGGTATCGAAACGATGCCGATGTACACGGATACCTGGAAGAGCAATACCGAGAAAATCGGTAGAGCCTGAAGACTGGTGAAGTTGTAGCCTGCGTCAAGAAACTGATAGTGTGTACCCAGGCAGATTAGCGAGATCGTGACCGCCAGGCTGGAGACGATCATTAAAACTCGCCTGCCGAACTTGTCGATCAGGAACATGGAGAGCAGGGAGCCGACAATTCCCGTAGCGGTGACGATGATCACGATCACCGACGGCTCTATCACGGTCACTTGGGCGTTTCGCAGGATGGTCTCCATGTAAAACAGCACGTTGTGCAGACCGCACAGCTGAAGATATATGAAGAGCATGGACACAAGTATTTGCGCTTTCCAAATGTACGGAATTCTGAATTGCTTCATGACACTCGCGAAGGGCAGGCTTTTGTTCTTCTCGAGAAAGAGCTTCAGCGCTTGCAGCTCTGATTCCACATCACAATCGCGGTGATACCAGAGTATCGAGGTCCGCGCTTTGACCTCCTCTTTGATTTTGATAAAGTGATGCGGTGACTCCGGTAACCAACTGAAGATGATTATCGGTACGAAGCAAAGTGCGAAGCATATAACAGCACTGACTTCCATCCTTACATACGCGCCCATGATGCTCATCATTAGGTTGCCTATTGATAATCCGTTTACAGCTGCGAGGAAAGAATTAAATCATATTCAAATATTATATTATTTAAATTATTCCGTATTGTCATGAACGCTATCTTGATATCTGCTATTAAACTGTGGAAGGAATACTTTGTCATGTAATCTGCATTCGAAAATTAAGTGAATGGAATTATTTGGTCGATTATCATTTCAAAATATCTCGATATCAAGTGCTCGTCATATTTTAAAATTATACTCTACATTTATTCTACTTTCAAGATCTACACGTACACAGACAAGTATTGAAGCACGTACCTAAAACGACCAGAGCTCCGCGAATGGTGGGGTCCGCGATCTCGCCTAGGTAAAGCGAGAAGCAGCTGTACATCTTACCCAGACTGATGCCAGCTAGAAACCTGGCTGCGTACAGCCATTCGACTCGATTAGCCACAATTATAAAAAGCCAACAGAGAGTTATTGGTAAACTCGTCATGAACACCGTTGTTTTAGCGCCGAGATAATTAACGGCCACAGAACCGGAAATAGCGCCAATTAATCTGCCTAGGTTTAACAGAGAGACTACCCAGGAAGCCTCGGTCATAGTCATGGGTATGTGAGATTCGCGTGAAGTCAGATATGCAATGTACGGTGAACTCCAAATCGCTATTAGTCCCATTTGCAACTGCAGAAGATTGACTGAAATTCGGAAAGTTATCCTTATCTCAATTTTAATAAATAACCATTTTCTTTACGTTTGTGTGTGAATTTAAGTAAATATTTGTTAACTAAATACGAATATAGAAAATACTTCGATTAATATGTTTAAGTACTAATATATTTTATTGATATTGATATAATATTAATATAGTAGAGTATACGAATTACATACGTCCGATAGCAGCGATCCATTGAGGCCAATGTACCTTTTTTATTTTCACTTTTTCATGATCCATCGCGATCTTCTTGTAGAACTGCTTACGACTGTGCGCCTTCTTGAAAAATACTATGCTCTACTCCAGAGCTCGGTGAGATAGGTCACTTTGCGTCTTATGCGGCTTGCTGCATCCAATATGTCTAGATCGGCCGATTTTCAGTGGACTCCCCCCAGCGCTAACCCCCTTACTTCGCCGTCAAAAGGTCGTATATCAGTCATCAACGGATTATGTCTACTAGGATACCACTATTAAAAAAAGAAACACGTCAACAATAGTATTTCAAGAGGAGGAAAGCTATTAAAAACACATTTACGCACCTGAGTTTCGAGCGGCTCGCGGGCTTCGCGCGAGACGGAAGGATAACGGGGGTAGCGCTGGGAGGAGTCAACTGAAAATCGGCCGCGAAGTGACCTATCTCGTCGATGTATGCCATGGACGAATCGTAAAAAGTACTTTACGTTCTTAAAATAAATAACGCAAACAGCACATATGTTTAATGAGCTATTAAGATGTAATCTACGGAAAAACCGTGGGACGAGTGGTTCATTATTATTCATTAATTAAGTTATCTACATGCATTGCGTAATTAAGTTTATAATCTAATGAATAGAATCAAGGCTGTAGCCAAGGGGGGGGGGTCCGGGGGGTCCGGACCTCCCCCGAAACCTCCTCCGAAATAAAAAAAAACCAAATATTAGTAAACATTATGTTCAATACGATAAACGTAATTTTTTTTACTAAAAACTATTTGATTTCCAGAAATAAGTACTGTTTTAAACAAATTTATGGCTTTTAAAATATTTATTTACACGATAAAAACTCTCTATACCTTAGTAAATTATTAGACATTACCTACCTGTGTCGACAAGTATCCCGGAAAGGACATTTTCTTCGTTGAAACGTCTAAAAACTGATTTAAAAAATTCCATGGGCCAAGAAAGGCTAACCGGATTGGCGTTAATGTCAATTCATTGTAGAATTGATATTAACACAAAAGACGTAATATATTTATTCGCCGCGAAAAAAGCTAGACGGTTAAATTTTATTTTATAATTAATTATAATTGTAATTTTTTCATTTAATAAATAATTCAAAACTTATATATTATTAATTAATAATTCTCTAAAAATTAATAATACTCCTTAGTTCGCCGAGTTGATCCCACTAGACTCCCCCCCCCCCGAATTTTTTTTCTGGCTACGGCCTTGAATAGAATAATAGCATAATTAATAAGTTGCATTATTGTTTTATGTAAACGTACAATAATATGCATATCTAGTCGCGAATATCAAATTTTTATTAATTCTTATGTTAGTAATATTCTAATATTATTATAATTTAACTCGTCATTGCATAACACTCACTTTTCCGTTAACTTTTACAACTCACAATCAGCTTACATTACCTAGCTGGTTTCGTTTCTTCAGCTTTTATCGTTTACATCCATCGTTGTAAATATTTACACATATTACGTAGATCGGGAAACTTTTATTCTAAATAAAAAAAGATTGTAATCTTAATTGGTACTTTACCTCGATTACCGTCTATATAGAACCTTAATTTGCGGATGTTATCATGGACATACTGCAGTATGTTTACATGTAAACAGACCAAGGATACACACAGTAAAATATTATTGTACAATCAAGAAAAGTAATTACTCAGTTTATTTTATTCCGTTTAAGTAATAGTTTGCTTCAACAAAGAATATTTTCTTAATAATAGTTTTAAGATATACTTGTTACTAGTCTTAGAAAAGCTCGCCATCTTATACTCAAAGAAAGAATTTATTCTTCTTTGAAGAAAATTATAAAACTTATTGAAGAATTCCGTATGCTTCTTTTAATAAAATCAGAAGAAACAAAATTGTTTTGCTTCAAATAATTCTATGTATTCTTGTTTGAAGTACTAAACTTACTAAGAACGAGAATATGTTTTGAGTAAATATATACTTTTTTTTCTCTACTGGATCGCTTACGAGAGCCAATCAGGATTTAGCTTTGAGTCACCTCGATCGAAAACTCTGAATCCTTATTGGTTCTCGTAAGCGATCCAGTAAGAAAAATAGTTTCGTGTGTCGTTGGCTTAAGCCTGGCTTTGTCAGAGAGCGCGCGGTGGGTCCATTTATACTACGTCCACGGATATTATCACAGGTAAAAAAGATGCACAATAGCAGAATATTTCCGTGTGAGAACGAAGTACTAATGAAATCCCACATATGTATGATTGTATTATCCCAAATAGCACAAAAACATTCCATTAACATTCTAGGAATATACGCCAAGAACATTAGAAGATTCCAGGAATCTTCTAATAGTCGTTTTATACGTTCGAGGCATATTTATATAGAATGTACCAACGGAGCACTTCAAAAGTTCTAGAAACATCTCTAGAATGTTCATCTGAATGTGCTACGAATGTACACGAATGTACTGCAAATATTCTAGTAATGTGCTGTAGATATTTCTATGAATGTTCCTGGAATATACAGCAAAATTCCAGTAATGTGCTGTAGATATTTCACCCAAAAAAAAGTATTCTATTTTTTAGTGGTTCTCTCTTGATTTTAGCCGGCACAAATTGGCAACCGGCACTACGCGACACGCGCGCGGGCGCGTGAGCGCCAGCCAGTGATGCCAGCCGAGAACGTTAGCACGGTCGCTGCAGCGGCGGTGGGGGTAGAGTGGGGATAGTCCGTCTGGCCACGCCTGCGCGCGCACGCTCGCACACAAGCAACACGTCGTAGCCATGGTGGAAGTATACAAGGTGAACCATTCCCGTGGATGCGCAGTAGCCTAAAAGTAGTGGGGACGATCCATCCAATAAGAGCCGTGCTTTTTTGCTTATAGATTAGGTTGGGTTATGATTTGTTTGACCGTTCAAACTGCCGCCACGCAAAAAAGCACGCCGCTTATTGGCTGGAAGGAAGGCTACCCCCTCTCTTCATGCGCAATGGTTCACCTTGTATACTTCCACCATGGTCGTAGCCAAGCGTCGAGCGCACACGTTTTTACGACGTGTTGCTTGTGTGCGAGCGTGCGCGCGCAGGCGTGGCCAGACGGACTATCCCCACTCTACCCCCACCGCCGCCGCAGCGACCGTGCTAACGTTCTCGGCTGGCATCACTGGCGCCAGCTTCTGAGTATTCACCGACCGCCGCTAGGCCGCGCATGGTGACGGCCAAAAACTCGGAAACAAAATTCAGTCTCGCGGGCCTCCTTTTATACCCTACGAGACTGAATTTTGCTTCCGAGTCTGCGATTCGCGTATCCGCGAATATCTTGCGTATCCTCTTATTTCAAGAGGCTAGTCGTATTACTGTAATGGAATTTTCTATACAGGAAATTAATCTTAATTATAACTTATGAGTCTACTCTTTTATAGATGAATATGTGTTAAAGTAAGTGAGAAATGCTTCATATAAGATTTTTTGCTTAGAGGAAATGCTTAGAGGATTTCCCCGCTTATGAATAGAATTTTTTTTTGGGTGCATAGCAAGCAGCGCCCAGAAACACCAATCATCATTTGAACATGCATAGCATGAATCCTAGAACATAATGGAACATACTGCGTATGTTCATATAGAAGTTCGTGAATATACCACGTACATTCTATGCGAATATTCATAGCACATTTACAACATTCCATAAACATTCGTAGCACATACGCTGCTAATATTCCACGTATATTCAGTAAGAATATCCGTAGAAAATTCCATGTGTACATTCCACGTACATTCTGTAAGAATATTCATAGAACATTCCCCAAATAACACAAGGACGTCCTCA